AACAATGAAGGGTGATTCATGGGCAGAAGTATGAGATGAGCCTTTGTTAGTCCTGAGGATTTTGATCCTGCAGCTCTAATCAGGATGAGAGACCTCAATCATGAAAGACCCCATCAAATACATTAAAGCACTGCTGCTCCAAGCCCATTATGCTTTAACAGCAAATCAACCAGCCCTGTTCAGAGACCCGTCTATTTCTAAATAATACATAACTACATTCTAAGTAGAAACATAAATTAGTGTTAGTGCTGCCTACAGTATAGCAACATGGTAACATTGACACCATGACATTGGTTATTTTGCAACTGTCAAATTTTGTCTGAAGTATTTTGTGACATTTAAAAGGAAACATGCACTGCATTTCAAAGAAACAAAACAAAAAAATGTTTGGTTATGCTGGATCTGCACTTAAAAAGGTGTCTAGTTTATATAATTAATAATAAAATGATAAGAGTACTCCATCACTATCAGAAATGTCCTGAACAGGAAGGAAACAAATCATGGAAAAAAAATGTATAGTGTGACCCTCTCTCAGCACATGCACAAATGCTGGATGAGGATAATGTACTGACAGTAAATGGCCTTAAGTGTAAGACCATGATTAATGCTCGCTGTCAATCTCATTTACCTCCAGGTGGAAACCTTTATGAGAAACAAGCATTTCCTCTGTTGAGTAAAGGGATAAAACACACGGGTACTCACACAAAACTCAGTAAACACTGTAATCCAGTGGGTTTTAAAAAGTCTTGCTCTCATATAGTTGCATAAAGCTTTAAGCTAATGCTGGGCGATAAAATGATAATGATAATTATCGCGATATAATTGTCCTTGATGAAACGATAACAAGAGTTTGATAAATGTTCGATATAATGTTCCCTATCGAACGGTCTCTCCTGTTGTGTTTAACATGCTTATGGGGAAACTCCCGTTTACTCTGATACTGAAGCCTGATTTGTGCAACTGCACAAACAAATGGCACTTCAACCCGCCAAAAGGGAGGAGCTGCTATATAAGTTGGCTCTTAGCGGCATTCGTCAGAATTTTTCTCCTTCAGCGAAGAAGATCATCTCCTCATTGGACTCTGAAGAAAGAAGCCGAAGCAAGAAGCTCAGCCTGCTTCTCGCCGTAGAAGAGCCTCTGGCAGCAGCAGATCGCAGAGCAAGCCTTCCCTTCGGTCATCCGGTGTTTTAAAAAGAGCAAATTTTCTGTGCAAATGTCACGCCGCGAATGTGGCTCATGCAGGGAACCCCTGTATGACATAGATGTGCACGGTTAATTGCACGGGCAGCACCCACGCTGAATGCTCTCACTGTGAGAGCATGAGTCTCTCCCTGCTTCACTCGTGGATCGCCTTTCACGAAGGCGGTCCTCCTCAGGAGCCTAGGAGGAAGAAACAGCAGAGTAGCGGGGTCCAATCGAGCTCGCGTGAACTCACACCGCCACACGGCCCGCGATTCACCTGTGTGCTTCACACGTGAGGATCAGCACACCTCGTCAGCAGCGAGCGGCTTGATTTTCTTTAGCAGATCTGAGGAGGAAGTTGTCGCTGATGACTCTACGTCATTGACAGCTTCTGACACAGAAGAGTGGGCGTGCTCCTGCGAAGATCCTGACACCATTCCTTCATTTCAACCAACTCTGCCCAGCGTGGACAGCGAGCTGATCCGCGTTCTCATCAAGGCTGTAGAGGAGTTCGGCCTAGCTTGGTCGGCTCAGGAAGAGCCTGCCCACAGCTTTTTAGACGAGTTGTTCCTGAAAGGACGGCGTCAACGTTCCTCTCGCCAGCGGCCCATCCCGTTCTTCCTGGAAGTTCACAACGAACTCACCAGGACATAGCGCGCCCCCTATTTGGTGCGTGTTAACTCCACTTCTGCTGCTCTCACCCCTGTTGACGGCGTTGAAGAAAGAGGATCTGGCAAGCTCCCCCCTCTCGAAGAGGCGGTTGCTGCGCATCTATGCCCACCATCGGCCCTGGGGGTAAAAGCCCATGCAGTGCATCCATCTAAGCCCTGCAGGACGACCTCCGCTCTGGCAAATAGAGCTTATTCAACGGCTGGCCAGGCTGGCTCAGCACTTCACACGATGGCGGTGCTACAAGTGTTTCAGGCAAAAGCTTCTCCGCAATATGGCAGAGTCTGGCCCAAGTCCTGATGACTTTAAAGAGCTGTGCACAGCGACTGACCTGGAAAGCCATTCAAGATGTGTCAAGCGGAGTTCTAAAAACCACAGAACGATGTTACTCGCTCAAGTTTGCTCGCAGGACACCTTGCTTCAGAGGTATTATTCAAACTTTGGTACAAGACAATGATGCTCACATTCTCCAGTCCGAAGTGCAAACTTTGCTTGCAAAAGGAGCCGTGGAGACGTTCCTCTACTAAACAGCAAGTCGGGCTTTTACAGCCGCTATTTCCTCGTTCCCAAATGGTTTCCCCATAAGTGTGTTAAACGCAACGCTCATTCCCTCATCTCAAGGAACCAAGGTTACGGTAGTAACCGGAGCGTTTATGTGCCAAAGGCGGAACGAAACAGCGCTTCTCATTCGAAGTGCGCAACAGACCATTTATCCGCTCGGCTCAAATGACCTGGTGATTTAAACTAATTTAAAGCCAAATGAAACCACGCTGACAAACAGCAGAAACACTGTGCGCAACGATACAGTCAGAAGACTACAAAGTCTACAAATCGCCATCATTTACAATGGATTTACTAACTGTAACACTAACTGCACCATGGTGTTGTGGCAAAAATGTGGGATATTCATATTGAATTTTATTATATTATTAATGTAGTGATGTATTAAATGAATTAAAGGAGTAATGGAATATAATTACAGTATTTTTGTGATCAAGTTATAGTGTTTGTGCATTTATACTAAATGTATTTAGACTACTGTTTTTCATATAAATTCCTAGAAACCATATAGTTACATATTTATGATGGTAATGAGGTGCTATATGTGTGGTTTTAACTGTATGCTACTATGGAAGACCAAAGGTCTTTTAATAAATTCTGAGTCAGAATAATTAAATTTCACCATATAAAAATGAGGCTGTTACAGTTTTTACAGATGTTACCGTTTTTGATAATTAACATAAATTTACATTTGCATCCTAACACAAGCTACTGTCAAATGTGCATTTCTAAGAGACCAAAAAAAAAACAAAAAAAAATAAAGAGTAATATTATTATAGCAGCCTGCACTGCAAACTGTGCTGAAGATAGGATACACACATCAAAGTCAGGCAACAAACCTGCTTCATGATTTGAAACAAAATCACTCATTACAACATGCAGAAACTAGGAAAAAAAAAATTCTATTAAGATATTTATTTTAAGGAAAAATGACTGGAAAAGTGAAGAATTCTAAAAGGTGAAGTGTTTGTCATGTTCTGACCATAAAGAATAGTTTAAAACCACAATTAAAGGTCTGGTTTCTACAGCTTTCAATTAGGAGCAAATATCTGCCTTTAAACTTGTAAGAAATAAAGATTTGGAATTTATTGTGATAATTACCGATATCGACTGATATGAAAAATTTTACGGTGATAATTTTTTGCCCATATTGCCCAGCCCTACTTCAAGCCATGAGAAGTCATGCATTACAGTGACTTTACCATCGTTAAGGGAGATGTTAGGCATGACAAATTAAAATGGCGACAACGGCAATATGATAAAAAACACAACTGTCACCATTTCAATTGCTTATACTTACAGTCTGAAGATGAAAACATACCCATATCCCCAAGTATTAAACCTCAGGGCATAACATGCCTCATACGATTTGTGCTGTTGACATGAATGAAAACTCAAAAAGTGCAGCCTGAGGTGTGTTATTACTTTTCCAAGCAATGGGATGAGGTTTTTCAACTGGGCAACAATAAAATGGCTGAAAAAAACACTGAAAGATGGACCCAGGCCATATCTAGGGACCAAAATACCACAGAGACACGGAGTGAGCTCTTTTGACACTGGCCAGTGAGCAAGTACCTATAACAGTCCAACAACCATATGACAAATAGGGCTGGGCGATATGGCCAAAAATATTAATCACAATATTTTTCCCGTATCATATGATATTGATTAAAATCCACAGAGTAAGCTACCTTTTAATTTAGGGCCCCATAAAATTAATTTGATTCTCCCCTAAATTCTGTTTTCTCCATTTAATTTTTTTCTGGAGTCTGTATTTTATGATTTAAAACAAATTTATCATCAAAAATTGTGTTTAATGAAATTAATCAAACTAATAAAACTAATTAATAAAACTTTAACAATTTAAACAATCATTAATCAAAGGAAAATATAATGATTCATTTACAACAAAACATTGCATTTTTTGTCAAAAGAGATGCTACACAACAGACCTGTATAAACTAAAACACAGATGACACTGTGAACACACTGTTGTCAGGTTTATTTCTGTTGTGACAGGCTTTCAGTTTAATCCATACAGAGTAAAAATGTCCAAAGCTTATCATCGTTAACAACATAAATTTCATGATCTTAATAAAATTATATCATTTACCAGCCAGCCCTAACGGCAACACTCTGGAAGGCCGTGGAATCAGCATATACAGTTCTCACATCCATCATAAGGACGTGCTTTAACACCAAGTACTACAGTTATATGAACTGACATTTCCACTCAGACCCAAGATACACCTCACATTAGCCATCTCTCTCTGTGAGCATGTTGGAGTGCCAAATCTGACCGCATGCCGCGTGGGCTGAAGCCAGGACACACCACACTGGATGCCTTATAAGTCCAAAAATTTTTCTGCCTCTCATCATCCATCCCATACTCCCCCTCTCTTTGTTCTGTTCTCTTCCAAAAGATGTCTAAAGCACTAAATCTATTTGCTAGCACATTCTTCTGTTTTTGATTCTTCACTCAATAACGAAATAAAAGAAAAGCAAACTGCCAGACTGTTTCAAATAAGAAAGAGAGAGAGAGTGGAAGACTGAGGGAAGGAAGAAAGGAGCTTATTTTCTTAACTCACCTTAGTAAAGAATACTGAGAGATGAGTCTCGCTGCCAAGGATCCAAATAGGGAATTTTGGAGATTTGAGAAACACGCCAACCTTTAAAAGCAGAAAAAAGAAACCGCAGTTGAGCACCAATCTCCATACCAATGCCATGATGGCCTGGCCAGCCACATTCCAGAACCATCACAAACAGGATGATTCACTGCAATAAGATGATTGGTAATACTTATAGGAACGGCCAACTATTCAATCATTCGGCTTATGAAAATGTTTTGAAGCCATTTTACACCCAAACACTAGAATGTTCACTATAACTGATTATGAACGGTTGATTGTATTATGTGAACACTGAAACATGTTCTACATCAGGGGTGGGGAACATCAACTCCTGGCTATATATGGCCCCAGAGGCCATTTAAACAGCCTTGCAAGGCCATTTAAAATGTAGTTTAAAACGTATACAAATAGTAATCAGCTCATTTCAATCCACAATTTAAAATGACTACGATCAAGAAAATAAAGGTGAATGCATTTTCAGCCATTGCATTAAATGTAAGTTATGCTTATACTTTGGCCGTCAATGTTCCGCGACAGTCCGCACAATGCAATTTTTGTCATTAGAAGCGTCTACTATTGTACACAGACCGTCCATGGATGCAAAAATCGGGCTGTGCGTGGACAGTCCGCATACAACAGCGCAGGCGCAAGATGAATGTTAAGATGTTACTGCGGACATACAGTGGAAATCAAAATTAGAAAACAATCTATAAATACTTGATTTTTTCTGAAATATTGTTAATCTTCCTTGCTCAAAATATGAAGGAATATCAGCTGTGGGTATATCACTGTTCTACTGTACTAACATGTTTGACAAAATAATTAAGGCATTTCAACAAAAACCTTTATTTTGTGGAAAACACAGTGATCAAAATTAGAGAGCAGTAACCACTGCAGCACACTGCGCTGGTGTGATCTTTGTCCACTTTTCTTCCAGTCTCTTCCATAGTTCGGCAACTGTAGTGAGTTACTTAGCCATAACTTTGCCGTCAAGGATTTTCCAGAGATTTTCAGTCTGGTTTAGATCAGGACTCTGGGCCAGCCATTTCATTATTTCAATGTTCTTAGCTTCAAGTAACTGCTTTATATGTTTTGCAGTGTGACGGGGACATTGTCTTGCATAAAAATTGCAGGCTGATTGGGAGATACTTGCAGGGAAGAAACTGCATGTTGCTGAAGGAGGTTCTGATAAACATTTACATTCACCTGCCACGTAACTGTATAAGAGGCCCAACTCCTGCTGCACAAAACAAACCTGCCCCCAAACCATGACACTTCCTCCTCTACCTTTCACGGACTTCTTTACGCACTCGGGGTTCAGTCTTTCCCCAGTTTGACACCGAACATGTTTCCCATCACACTCAAATAAATTCAACTTGCTCTCATCACTAATGCCAAGTTCACACAACAGGATTTTAAGCCCGATTTGCAAGTCAACAAGCTTGTCGACAGGCCAGGCTGTGATCGGGTGCAAATCAGCGGGTAATCAGCGCTGTGTAATTTTTATGTGTGAACTACTCAATAACGTATCAAAGAGGCTCACCGACGCCAAACAAATATCTAGCATGCTAAATATTTGGACCAGTCGGCCAACTCGACATCCTGTGGTGTTCAGGTGTCGCAACGAGCAACAGCCAATGAGAGAGCAAGACATGGGTTGAGGTCACCAGAAGAAAAACAGCAGAAGCAACATGGCTTAAAGGAAAGTGTGGACACAAGAAATGGAGCAAAATAACAGATTATCGTGCAAACAGCTTGCAGCACTAATTTCTTCCCAACGTCCATTTTCAAATAAACAACTCCCGTTTCATGCGTTGTTTCGCGTCAATTCCCGTTCCACTTCTTAATTGTGTTTTCGTGACAAAATGTGGTTTGGGGACCGTATGGAGTCGTTGGGTGAGAGTTGTTGTCAGCTCATGTAGTGTGTGACACCCTGTTGCGGATCATTTACATAGTGTCACGTAGTGTGAACAACAAAACAACTTCAAGACAGACAGCAAGTCATGTAGTCAGCAATCTGCCAATGTTTAAATTCGTGTAGTCTGAAATAGGCTTAAAGTTGGACCAGTTCTCCTCTCTCCACACAGCATGCTCCTCAGCAAAGGGGAGTCTAGCCTTTTAATTCTTTTTGCTGATGAGGATTCGCCATTGCAGTGTGCTGTCAGTCCGACTTCTCTTAAACATGCTGAGACAGATGCTTAGCCTGTTCAGCGCTGAACTGGTGAGCATTTTCAGCATTGGGTTTGTCATATAATTAAAGAAATTAGCACCAGGTGCCAGATTAACACCAATAACTTGGAGGTATCTGTAAGTGTTCTCTAATTTTGAGTGCTTTTTCAAATATCTAATTTAAGTTTTTTATACTGTGCTTCAGAATACAATTTATTTATGAAATATGCTTAAAAAACTGCCCTTCTACTCCTGTTAGGATAACGTCAAATAGGACTAAACAGTGACCTTGTAATTTAGGAAATTGTAGGTTGTTCTCTAATTTTGATCTCTACTGTATGTTAATTGCATACTTATTTACACATATATAACTTACTGACCCCAAACTTTTGAACGGCAGTGTACATGAACGGGTCTTGTTATGAAAAAGGTTCCCCACCCCTGATCTACATACAAACGTTGCACACACACAAACCACATCCATCAATCAAAACCAAATTAAAACGGAATGAGATGAGAGTCAGCAGTTTAACACAAGCCTGCAGTTCAAAGTGTAGCTCTGCACACTCTGCCTACAGCTCGATCTCCAGCAGTGCATCCAAACACTGAAAGCCCTCACACTCAGCTCACATCACTCAACAGGTGAGTATCAGCAGCAGATTTGGGTAGGAAGGTGTTTCAGGGGTATGCGGATTAAAAGGATCATGAGTATTGTGATGGGGGCTCGGATGGTTCTAAGTATGAGGCGATACATTTCTGCATTCCTCTAGTCCAAACACAGCTCACTGTACATATCCTGAAGCTCTGCTTAGTACAGTGCCATTCCAAACAAAGCAGCTTCTTAATTACTTTCTCCACAGGTTAAAACAGAGCCATTCCTGCCCAGGCTCATAAAACATACAGGATGTGCAGGTGCCAGATCTCTGATGTTCGCCCTTTAGAGGGCAACACATTAGTTAGGGAGCAGGGAAGCATTTAGCTTCTGAAATAATAAATAAATAAATAAATACTACTAACTGCATAATTTAAGGACAGTTTCATTTCTCCTCCTGAAATGCTGGACAAATGAAAATATATTTAGATTTATTGACTGCTAGGTTGAGTATGCACAGAATATATTTAGTGCTTATTATTGGCAAGACATGATTTGCAGGATGTGATGACATACTTGAATAAAACAATAATAAAAAGTAAACCAAAGTAGAACACTTTATCTGATTTATATGAAGTCTCCCTTGAAACATGATAGATGGCATTTGTTTAACAGTGAAGCATGCTGGGTAATGATGCTTTGCTAAAAAACATGTTAGGAAAAAAAAGAAGAAAATGAAATGGTAAACAGAAGAGAAAAAAGGAAGGACATGAACAAAAAGAACAAAAGACAATAAGAAAATAAACAGGCCACAGAATTTCCCTTGTACTACGCAGAATTTCCATAATTGTTTTACGTGTGAGAACAAACCTAGTGAATGTTTGTTCCCAATCATAAACATTCTTCAAGAACCAAAAAAAAAATAATTTGCAAAATAGTCTGACAGAGTGATGACTCTGACACCGTCTGTTCAATGCAGTCAATATTTCAGTAGATTATTATGTTGCATTACATTTCGCAAATTCCCTGTGAGATGTACAGCTGGAAAACAGCAAAACCACGAAGAAACTGTGAGCTTTGGCATCTGGACACTCTGCATCTTTCAAGCAAAACGTACTTGATTTATCAACACAGCAGACAGTGGGTACACTATCTATACCACATAAATTATAAATCTAACTATAGTATTATAAGCTCCTGTGAGGCTGCTAATGAGTGGACACCCACCTTGCAATAGCGCAGTGACTCCATTAGTGTGAGGAAGCCAACAGACGCCTGCTGATGAATGCCACGAAGCTCTAGAGAAAACAAAAATAAAAGAATAATTAAACTCCTCTATCAACTGTACAAAAATGAAGTCTAATATAAAGCACTCTTTGAAACCTAAAGACCTTAGCATTTTCTCAGCAAGCATTTTTTTTTTAAGTGTGCTAAAGCTGGAGCAAAACATTAGATAATGCTGCCATCAAGTGGTCTGTAAATGCAGGACAACTGTGACCTACTGTAACTCAAGAGTTATTTCAAACAAACAGCATGTCAACACATTAATATTCCGTAAAAATATGAAGCATACTCATTCCAGAACATTCTCTATCACCGTCCCACACGTTAGACACAGCATGCCCCGTCACCAGAAGGTTGATTAGACTTTGGCTAAAAAGTATGGGGAAAAAAAACCGTAACAAAACAGTCAGCATTCACAATAAATGTAGTTTAATGGTGCATTATAGATAAATCTATCAGATTCACAATCCAACTAGAACAGCTGCCTAGAAGTCACGATCAAATATAATGCTAAGAACTTGAACTCCCATCATGCATTTTACCTGCCGTGGCCATACACGGGGTCAATCAGAGGTTCAGAGGAGTCTTCAATCTCATTCTTTATGTTCTCAATTCCCTTCAAGTTGAAGTCAGACCATAAATACAAACACAGACACACGGATGAGCATGGCTGGCAAATGATACACTACAAAGGGCACAATTTGCCATTGTACACTATTGTTCAAAAGTGTGGAGTATTTTTTTTCTGTTGGCTGCTGAAAATTCTAAAATAATTTATTTATAATTTTAAAATGTATTAAAATTAATATAAAACAGTTAGTTTAAATGGTATTAATATTAGTTTTTTTTCCAATTGCTAACATCCCTTTGTCCAATCTATAGTCACATTTTCAAAACTCTAAACACAATTAGCACAACATGTTTGTTGTGACCATACCATTAACACAATTCATGTTGATTTCACACAATATTCTGTCAATTAACACGTTTCTAAAATGCTTACATTTTCATTTTACACAAGCTTACCCCATTCCAAAATCATGGATCTTTCTTATCTTTTTTTACAAATGCTTAAACACAGCATGACAGAAATGAAGACCTGATGTTCCAAACTTTAAATATAGCGTAAAGACTCAACTTCTGCAACAACAGCAGCTTAAAAGAGCTGATAAGAATTATTTTAATTACTAATAGTTGAGAAATAGCTGATTCCAATCTTAATGAATAATTCCAAGTCTTTCCATTATATGGTCATTAACAATAAAAAAGGCACTCTCTGGATTGGTTTTGTTCAAAACAATGCAGAACAACAAAGAGAAGCAGAAAAAGAAAGAAAATATCTGGATGTGGGAGAGTAGTTGGACCAGGACTGTCTGGTTTAGTTCAGCTACAAAATCAGACATCAAGAGACTACAACGGACAGTCAGGACTGCTGAGAGGATTATTGGTGCCCCCTGCCCAACCTCCAAGATCTTTACATCTCCAGAGTGAGGAAAAGGGCTAAGAAAATCACTCTGGACCCCACACACCCAGCTCACTCTCTCATCGAAAAGCCAGACATAAGAACAGTTTTTTTCCTGCAGGCTATATTCAGCATGAACAATTAAAACATTCATACCTATACATCGTCCATCACAACTGACGCATTTATACATATGATAGAATCTGAAAATTGTACATTTGTATATTAGACATCTGTAAATAACATATCTGCACACTTGTAAATAACTTATCAGTACACTGATTTAAACCATTATGTTTTTCCCCCTCTATATTTCTACTTCTGTATATAGTGCATTATTTAATTCTGTTTTTCTTATATTACAGAATTGTTATAATTCCTATGCATGTCTGCACTATCATGCATGTTTGTACTGTCCATACTTTCTTCTGCACTGGACGCTCCTGTTTCCAAGTCAAAATCCTTGAGTGTGTGAACATGCTTGGTAATAAAGCTCTTTCTGACTTTCTGACAAAGGAGAAGGAGAGGTAGGGTTTTTTCTTCTTCACTGACAGCAATTTAGTTTGGCCAATAAAGCCTTTACTTCAGCAATTCTATAACTTTTCTTTTACATTTCATAAAGTATTGATGACTCCTTCACTATGCACAGTACACATACTATCTAAAATGAATTCACACACACAAAAATGCAGAGTTCAGCTGACTGAATTATTATTATTATTTATTTTTTTTTTAATCTAAATGTATCTCATATTGTATGTTCTATACAGGTCGAACTGAGACATGGCAAGTAATGCAGTTTTTGTAATGCCATTAATTGTTATCATTTTGACAGACTATGCGCTATTATTGACTATATGTTCCTATTGGATAGAAAAACAGTGCTAATGTTTTGACCGAATTACTCGATTTTGAATCGGGTTAGCTGTGTTTTGATAGAGTTAGTATATGCAGAAAAAGGCATTTAGCATTTTGAAATGTAGAGTTTGTATTTAACAATGTGGTTTTGGCCAGAAAATTAACTATTTGGCTAATTGTGTGATGTAGGTGAGTTGCTGTGTTAAGAGTTTAGAAAAAGTACTTTACATATGGGTAAATGCTTGTTAGCAATTGAAAAAAAACTGTGTCATCAATATGACTGTTTTCACTGTATTTTTATGATGAGCATATGAGAATTTCAAAAACAACAACAACAAAAATATCTTACCCCAAACTTTTGAACGGTAGTGAAGATGAGAAATTGTTACCATGCAAGTGCATTATTACCTTGCTTTTAAAAGGAATTTTCAAAAACAAATTGGTAAAATGATCATGGGCGGGAAATGTAAAGTTATACCTTTGTAAGTATGACAGAGTACAGGAATAGCAGGACCCCAAATTTGTTCTTCCAAGTGTCGTACAGTGACAACACCGCCTCTCTCAACTCTTCAACAGTCCTGAGAGTCCTCTTCCTGAGGAAGGAGTAACCACAATGTGACTATCAATTGGGAAAGGTCCTTACTGACTTTTTATCCAGATGTTTTTTTAAAGCTCCGCCCCTTTCATTGTGAAATTAGTTGCTTCTGCACTACTGGAGTTTTCTGCCAGGAATTTGCATATTTGTAAAACAAGGAGAAGGAAAGGGTAAGCCAGTGAAGACTTAAGAAAAGAGAAACACAAGTGACGCAGTGTGGAAAGAGCTTGTACACTTACTGTATGACGCTGTGAAACCTCTCAAAGCCAAGCTCCTCAGCAGCCAAAGCAGCTACACACACACCATGCAAAAACACAAACGCATTTAACGAGACAACAGTCCTGAGAAAATTATTTGTAAGGTCACAGTTATAAGAATACACATCGCAGCAAGTTTACACTAGCATGCTGTGTTGGATCATTTACTAAAAATGTATGCATTCACTGTGAAAAGAGAGTTAAAGTATACCAAATATTACGGATCAGTGTTAGGCCCTGTTCGGTATCTGTACAACATCGAGAATGGCTGTTGCTAATTTTCTTACTCTGTGTGTCAGTAGGTTGGCTGGACTCAGGCTCTGGGTGGCTGTCAGTGATGTCACTGCTGTCTGTGGTTTTAGCACGAGGCAAGGTGGCCAGGTGAAAGGCCTGTGTCTTATTGAGACAGGCAGACTCCAGGATCTCACTGAGGGTGGAGCACAGGACTGTCCTCTGCTCTTCCTCTGTAAGATTACACAGCACATACGTCAAGCCATGCATCTGATTTCTGTGTTGCATTAAAGTTGCTGCACTGACTAAGAGTAAGCAAGTCGATCCGTTTTGCTGCTAGATGATGTGTTGGAACACCGTTGAGTAGTCGAGCTAGAAAATACTTCTCTCTATAAACTGTGACCCAGGGTAGCTGCATGCCATTAACTTTGCATCTAAGAGTTAATTTGTGTATATTTCAAATGTCTTGCAAAACCCCATGAAACTAATCCAGAGGTTTAACAAATTTTAGTTAGTAGGACATGACTGTTCTTTCTGTTTATGATGATGAAGCAGCATTCCAAGCAGGATACCAAATGAACATACTAATGAGGGCAACAGCTAAGAATGTCAAATATGATCATTACAAAAGAGTGAGGAGGAGATGATAGGAGGAGAAGAAAACAAAATCACTTCAACTATAAAACAAAAGAACACAATCTCTTCAACAACGCTGTGCAGTGAGCGGTGTTGAAATTGAAAGTGATCAAAAAATTTGGACAAATAAAGACAGTAGTATTATGGGTGACAGACAGGTAAAACAACGTTTTTTTAAAAAAAAATTTATTTACTAAGCAGGGCAAATTAGCGTGAGAGCACAATCCCATTAAAGCGCTGATGGGAGTGGAAAGTTCTGTGGTAAAGTTACTGACAATGTGCGAATAAAGAACACAGACGCAGCCAGCACATTTACATAATGACCAATGCAATCTACCAAGAGCAGCGCAAACAAGCAGAGCCGATGACAATAAGATGCGTGTAATCTACTAACAACACAGGCGCAAATCAGTTAAGACATGCTTTTTTTGGGGGCGGTAAATTATGGCGCAAACACCAGTAAACTGACAAGCGCAAACCTTAGTAATTCATGTTGCATGATTCATTTAAATACTCTCCTCCCATAAATTTTACATTTGAAAAGAAAACTCCTACAAATGCATATACAATATGGTCAGCCACAAAAATGACTATGTCCATGCCTTTTCATCATTAATTTTTCGCTGTGTGTCTTTAGTAAATCCTGACAGTAGTTTTTTAATGACAGTAGTTTTTTAAAGGGTTTGCGCTGGTGCAAGCTGTTAGTAAATCTGAGCCATAGTGAAGAACCACTTTCGCCAATTTTAGGCACACAGTAAGACTACAATACAGATATGTGCCTATAATAAGATTCAGGATGATGTCTTTCATTTTGGAAATATGATGAGGGTAAAAAAAAGTGCATTAAAAATTCTACCATAATGCTTTATGCATTGGCACCACCTAAATATCAATATTCAATAAAATAAAATCAATAAATATCAATATCAATATCTTTGTGAAGTCTGTCAAATCTCAAACAAATCTTACAATATATTTATGCTTATTATGGCACTTATTATTACATGCTCTTTTTAAATCAAGGAAAATAATATACTGCAATGACACTGGATTCAGAAACTTTTGAGTTTGAGATGTTCATAAATGCCTGGTCTGAGTGTTACTGAGGACACAAAAGTGAAAAAATATGGAATTCCCTTTAAAATGACGCACAACGAACCTGAGATATCTTTCCAGTTTGAGCCTTCAGTGTTAAACAAAACGTTCTTCAACAGGAAAGCCTGAGAAATAACAAACAAAACACACAAATCATTAGGGCTCCACTTAACCAGCCAAAAGGAACAATCTGACAACATAGCATGTCAACTTATTTAAGTCAGTTCAGATAGCAACTGCACCACAGTGTTACAGAGAGAGACAGAGTTTAAGACTCATCCTCACTTACTCACTGACGCAAATTGGGACAAAAATCCTGGCAAAAGTCAGGTAGTCTATTCCACCCTTAAGATGGGTGACAAATTAAAGGAAAAACTTGAAGTATCTTAGTAAGGTGCTGGGCCAACATGTGCCACCACAACAGCTTCAATGCACCCTGGCATTGATTCTCTGGAACTCTACTGTTGGCATGGAATACCATTCTTATAAAGATTTTCCTTCATTTAGTGTTTTAATCATGGCGTTGGGAGGGTGCTTTAAAGGATTCATGAACTGGCTTTTTTTATTATTTTATACTGTTGTCCACTTATGACGTTTGTGTGGTTTTTACATACAAAAACATCAAAATCAATAAGTAATAGGCTATTTTCTACCCTGGTTTTGAGGCTGGCTCCAGAAACGATCAGTTTTTTATGGGCGTGCTACATTGAAGACTTGGAAGTAAACGCTCACTGCTATGATTGGATAACAGTTTTGCATAGTAAACTAACTTTCTCTGTGTCTGTTTGACAAGCTACGTTCTTCATAGCTGGAGCCTTCTTTGACTTTGGTTAGACACGTACACATAATTAGGACATATCAAGTGTTCTCTAACAAAGCAATAGTGACACTTTGTACAAATATTTTTTACTCACATAAGTATGCTGCGCTATTCCTGTCGGATCCCATATAGACGGCACAGCATTGCTTTTTAATCTCAGTCTCTCTGCAAATTCAGTGTCGACCTGTGTCTTGTTTACAAAGGAATACGCGGTGAAATGAAGCGAACAAACGTTCAATGTTTAACTCACGTGAGCTGAAACTTTATTAAAAATAAATATGTGAATCCAAAGGAAGGTTATGCAGCAACTGTGTTTTTCCACAACCAGGCACTGCACAATATTTTGCGACCTTCAACAGCATGTTTATTGCTTGGTTGCTCGATCCGGTTTAGTGCCACTTATGTTATTTCCCTACTATTCAGAAGGGCACTTCAAGAAACAGTTGTTTGATCCCCTACACCCTTCAACCCTTCGAAGCTCTCACTCCGGAGGGTAAACCCTTTGAAGGGATTAGGATATAGGTATGAGCCCTTTCGAATGGAACGCAGGGTAGGTCATGCGCGAATCAGTGGGCGGGGCTACAGAATTAGGTGTTGATATTCTTCTGTGGAGGCGGTGTTTAACCTATCGATGACGGAGTATTTTTTTGTTGTTTCCGCTGTTCGATCGCGCCGACGCCTGACGCACACGCATATTGCAAACGTTGCAGCCTGTTCATTATCAGAATAAAATACAGTCAACCAAACATAAACAAGGACGTTTTCAATTCTGAAACTTACAGGATATTCTTTTAGTACAATGATCTCTTAAATATCAAAAGCTCAAGTAAAAGTTGATTTCTCAATTCAAGACCCCTTTAAAGGCACAATATGTAAGATTTTTTTATTAAAATATCCCCTTGGTTTTGTTTTGTAGAAAACATGGAAGCACCAAAGACGATTTAATATGCTATGCATTTTATTAGACCGGTGACGACCGCACAGAGTGGCATTATAAAAGAACGTTCAAATGTATCTAGTATGATAAAACAGTGCTGCTTTTTCATCGGTCAAAATGTAAAAGAATAGCAGAGTCCACAAAACAATTATAATGATAACAGCACAGAACAAGTGTTGTTGGAATCTCTTTCACACGTTTTTTTTTTTTTCCAGCTAATGAATGATAAAAAAAACAAACCTACATCCAAACAAAATCCATTCTGCTTTAAAGAGCTCAAGCATTTAAAGCAGCAGGTGACAGCTGCAGTTTGTGCTTATAATAAACAGAACGTTATCATGCTTTGGTCTGGATGATGATATAGTTATTGTTCTTGATGAACGGGTCATTACACTGGCATACACTGTATAAAGGTCCTAGATCACACGTAATTTTCACAAATTTGTCAAATGTAAGTGTTTTGTAGAGACATTTCATCATCTGAACAAATGACATGTAGTTAAACAACAATATTAGCCATTGAATACACTGCAAATCTGTACCTCCCAGCCTTATTTCACTGCTGTCAAAAATTACTCATCAAAACAATCAGTGAACCCTAGTGATCTATGAATGGAGCCACTGTCATCCTGGAAGAGAACAGTCCCATCAGGATAGGATAAAGGTAATCACTTAGAAAAACCATGCCAGGATGGTTCCGGTTCACCTGGATTTTCCTTTAATTTGTCACCAACCTGTATATTTTATCACTGTAATGCAGCTTTTATATTTTGGACTTTACAAAGGCGTGGATGTAGGCGTATTTCATTACTGATTAAACATCACCATAACCTATGAACAGAAAAAAATAAGGTGAATTACCTGCACAGGTGCAATGACAGCACATGGTCCACCTTCAAACTGCTCCAGTGCAGAGCGTTCAGCCTCACTGAACACAAAGCCTGAAGAAAGAAACGCAGTCAACACAAACCACAGTCAATGTCTTAGTTTAGCAATTCATCACAATTTATAACTGGGCAAGCAGTCAGGATTAAGTAACATGGACTTTGCATTGGCCCGCTGACCACTGCAGATTTTTTTTTTTTTTTAACAATACAAGTAATGGATGTATGTCCTTTAAACTGAGCGTTTCAACCTTGAAAATCTGAGTCAGCATTAGTAAGACATCTTTTAATATCTATTAAAACATCAAGAACTATCGAGGCCGCTTACCTTGTGACCACCTGCGGAAGAGGGATACAGGCACTCCCCCACCACTAGGTATGCCCCACACCAGATCCACTACTTCTTTATTAGTATCTGACATTTCAGCACTTGTTTTCTGTCAATATTAACTCAAACCATACATCGAGACTAATGAAGATCTTTGTGACCGCGAACCGCTGTAGTGCACGCGACGTGGCTAGCGCACTTGCTCTGGCCTGCTTTTGTATTCCGTTGAATCGTTGGCTTTGGTGAGCAGGTGGCATTGGCCACAGTTGCGCTACTGATGTGTAAACTGTCCCACAAGCGACGAGTGATCGAACGCTCGCGCCAAAAACGTTTAAGAACGTTAGCTTTTGAATACGCAGCCTGAAACGACCGCACGCCACAACAGCTCTATTAACCTCATACAGGTTCGCTTTGTGTCTGAAATGAATGTTATCTTACGTCTTATGTAGTATTCAGTTCCTTAATTCGAGTTTTCTGTTCTGTCTGTTTAACTGGGCAGGCCTGGTATGTCCTTACTGAAGTAACTCACTCGCCAATACTGTCTGTGGCTTGTTACATTACTAAACGTCCGAAACAAACGTTTAGCTCGTTCCTCAGACAGCCCGTTTTAAAGAGTAACTGTTAGTCAACTCCACTCGACAACACCCAGAGAAAATAATCCAATGAAAAAATGCTCGCTGAGGTAACTGCAGATTGCACTATGATCCATTCAGTTTATTTACGTGCCTCCACCTCAAGTTTCGATTTTGTGAGAGATTGGTTCAAATCGAGAAGGTTCTGGTGACGTTGAGCGAGGGAGAGGTTTGATTGGTTGTTACGCCCATCAATCAAACGGCAACGCTTTGACATCGTGTGTTGTGTCCGCCTACAATACGGAGACTGAGTTTGAATATACAGAAAGCTTGGCTAAGCAATGTTATATAAGACATGTATGTCCTTTAAACTGAGCGTTTCAACCTTGAAAATCTGAGTCAGCATTAGTAAGACATCTTTTAATATCTATTAAAACATCAAGAACTATCGAGGCCGCTTACCTTGTGACCACCTGCGGAAGAGGGATACAGGCACTCCCCCACCACTAGGTATGCCCCACACCAGATCCACTACTTCTTTATTAGTATCTGACATTTCAGCACTTGTTTTCTGTCAATATTAACTCAAACCATACATCGAGACTAATGAAGATCTTTGTGACCGCGAACCGCTGTAGTGCACGCGACGTGGCTAGCGCACTTGCTCTGGCCTGCTTTTGTATTCCGTTGAATCGTTGGCTTTGGTGAGCAGGTGGCATTGGCCACAGTTGCGCTACTGATGTGTAAACTGTCCCACAAGCGACGAGTGATCGAACGCTCGCGCCAAAAACGTTTAAGAACGTTAGCTTTTGAATACGCAGCCTGAAACGACCGCACGCCACAACAGCTCTATTAACCTCATACAGGTTCGCTTTGTGTCTGAAATGAATGTTATCTTACGTCTTATGTAGTATTCAGTTCCTTAATTCGAGTTTTCTGTTCTGTCTGTTTAACTGGGCAGGCCTGGTATGTCCTTACTGAAGTAACTCACTCGCCAATACTGTCTGTGGCTTGTTACATTACTAAACGTCCGAAACAAACGTTTAGCTCGTTCCTCAGACAGCCCGTTTTAAAGAGTAACTGTTAGTCAACTCCACTCGACAACACCCAGAGAAAATAATCCAATGAAAAAATGCTCGCTGAGGTAACTGCAGATTGCACTATGATCCATTCAGTTTATTTACGTGCCTCCACCTCAAGTTTCGATTTTGTGAGAGATTGGTTCAAATCGAGAAGGTTCTGGTGACGTTGAGCGAGGGAGAGGTTTGATTGGTTGTTACGCCCATCAATCAAACGGCAACGCTTTGACATCGTGTGTTGTGTCCGCCTACAATACGGAGACTGAGTTTGAATATACAGAAAGCTTGGCTAAGCAATGTTATATAAGACAGGTTCGGCAGCCATAAATTCTTTAAATACCATCTGTGAAGTAGGCGCGCCCACAGAGGCTATAACGATGTCTTGCCGACAATGTGCATTGAATGAAATTCCATTGAATGGTCAGAAAACAATGAATTTTCTCCATACCACCTATATACATTGTAAATGTAGATAAACACTGCATATTTGCACTGCACCATACACCATGCTGACTTAGGGTAACAGCACAATTTTTTCAGTTTGCAAGCACATGATGGGTATAAATTGTTAATAAGAATGACTGAATAAACGAGCAAAAAAAAAAAGAAGATAATTTTTGTTCTAAAATTATATCCTAACAACATTTCATTCGCTTTTATTTATTTACATTTTATTTACAAATATTTAAATGTATAAAATGAACTGTATTTAATAAGTTCATTTATATTGTTGCACAACATACCTTAAACATTCTATTTTTTCACAAATATGCACTGAGAAGAGAAGCAGTTATGGGAAGTTAAATTAAAGTTGTATAAACAAACATTAGAGCAAGTATCACTAATAAGGTATCTGGGAGTATGGATGGATTCCAAATTAACATTTGGGTCACATATTCAGAAGTTAGTTGATAAATGTAAGAAAGGAGTCAATGTGCTGAGGTGCTTGGCAGGAGTAGATTGGGGAGCTACTAGACGTTCTCTTAAAAGGGTATACAGTGCATTAATTAGGTCAGCAATTGATTATTGTAGAATAGTATATGGCTCAGCATCAACATCATTATTAACTAAGATAGAGGTGATTCAAAACCAAGCCCTTAGAATATGTTGTGGAGCGTTTAGATGCTCTCCTGTGACAGCTTTGCAGGTAGAAATGGGTGAAACACCACTAGACATTCGTGAAATTCAGCTTAAAATGGTATATTGGACTGGTATTAAAGGTCATTTTACCAATCATCCAGTAAAAAAAATATTGGAGAGCTGCTGGGAATATGAGCAGACATATATGAATAGTTTTGGCTGGACAGTAGGCAAGCAGGCTCAACAAATAGGTATCAGTAATATCGATATTAGCCCCACGGTGGCTCTGCCAGTATATCCACCTTGGTTTTTTTCTATGCCAACAGTTGATTTGCAGATATTTAATTTAATAAACGAAAACAAGAAATATGTTCCCAAAGAGACAATAGTGCAGCAGCATTTAGATAGTCATTACTTTCAATTTTTACAAATTTATACAGATGGTTCTAAAGACCCAGAAACTGGGCGTACAAGTGCTGCCATGTATATTCCTCACTTTAAATATAAATCTGCAAAAAGAACTTCTAATAATATATCAGTATATGCAGCAGAGATGATCGCTATTCAGATAGCTTTACAGTGGGTGGAAGAAATCCAACCAACAACAGTGGTAATTTGTTCAGATTCATATTCTGCACTCACAAGTATACTGAGTGGAAAATCGGAATCAAGGTATTTTATTAGAAGTACTGCAAAGTTTGTACCGAATACGGCAACTGAGAATTATAGCAGAATTTTTATGGGTGCCTGCTCATGTTGGAGTGGAAGGAAATGAGGTAGACAAGATAGTGAAACAGGCTCTTAAGCACACAAATATTGACATACTCTTGAGTAAATCAGAAATTAAAGGTTTAATTAAAGTAGCTGTCAGAAAGGTATGGTAAGAGAGATGGGATAAAGGTAACAAAGGGCGACATTTGTATAATATAAATAAACAAGTAGGACATGTAAGAACTGCTTATGGTAATAGAAGGGATGATACAGTATTATCTCGATTGAGAATTGGACACTCTACTCTTAATAAATCACTCCAGATGATAGGAAGACATGAATCTGGTCAATGTAATCATTGTGGACTTCCAGAAACTGTAGAGCATGTGCTGATTAACTGTAGGGCATATGAAAGGGAAAGAATACAGTTAAAAGAGGAATTAAAATGTACCGGCATTAATTCTATGACATTACAGAGTGTTATAAACAGTTATCATAAAGGTTATAAAGCTCTTATTAATTTTCTGAAAAGAACAAATGTATATAATAAAATATAGGTAGAAGGATTTTTTAAATTTATTTTTTATTAGCATTTCCCTTGATATCATCGCCTCACACTCCATTCCAGTAGGTGGCGGAATATGCACGTAAAGCTGGTTTGCCAACCGCCATTAAACATCAAAAGAAGAAGAAGATTCACGGTTGTAGCCCATGCGTACTTTCACGCTGGCAAGTGAACGCACCTCTATTGGAGAAGTATTTTTCTCTGTATTAAAAGTGACATAAATTTTATCTAACAACAATGGGCGGACAAGCAAAAGCTAAAAAGAAAAACAAAGCTAAAAGAAAAGACACTAAGCCAAATGGAGGTATGTCAGATTTAGGAATCTATAGTTTCTAACTATCTGGTTATATGGCTGTTAGTTCACGAAAATAATTACTTTAAAACACATTTTAAAAAATGCCAGATAAGTTAAACCTGTTTCTTGCTATAGACTGGACACTGGTGGTCATCTTTGCTTGCTTTGACAATAACGGTTTAATGTAAACATGACATTATCCATGTCATCTGATTCATGTGTTATGTTGAGTTTATTGAAGAAGGGTTGTCAAACTTGCTTAACCTAGACTTATTCATAATAAACACATTTTGTAGCTGAATTATGTGCAAGAAGGTTTGATTGTTAGTGAAAATATTTTCTTGATGTTCAGGTGCCTTGATGTCACCACAGGAGAGAATGAAAGCAAAGATGCAGGAAAGAGCCAAAAAGAAAACAGCTGAAAAATACACGATTGATCAATTAGTGGGGAAGGTAATATGTTTTCTATAATGCACATTTTATAGAAATGAAATATTAGTGCTTGTTTTCAGACTGTCTCTCTGTTCCTCTCAGACTGAAGAGTGTATAGACAACTTTGACTTTGACATGGCAAGGCTGTACTGTCAGCGAGCGCTGGATATTGAACCCACTAACCTGACTATCCTGGACATGATGGGGAACATCTGCACTGAGCTGGGAGAAATAGAGAAAGCTAAACAGATATCCTTTACACATACTGTACTACCACAGTTTAATGGTCTTTGATATAGAAATCACTTGAATGCTTATCCTTATCCTTGTTTTGCATTTTGTTGAAGAGAGAATGATTGTATTTGAGTGTTACGGTCCTTGACAGAGGTGTACGTGTATCTGAAGGCTGTGGAGCTCAGTCCAGAGGACGGCCACAGTAAGTACATGTACCTGGGGCAGATTCACACAGGCATGGAGGCTGTACAATACTTCAGTAAAGGAACTGAGGTCATGCTTAACACCATGGACAAACACGCCAATAAGGCAAGACACTGCTGATACACAGTTCATGCATTTTAAATTAATTTTTGATTCACTTGATTGTTTTATTTACACATTTGTATACGCTACCGTTCAAAAGTTTGGGATTTTATATATATATATATAATAAAAAATGTTTGACTAATAGGGGTGGTATGCTAAATTTATATACCAAAAAGTGCAGTATTCCATTGTATTGCATAGATAGGTATATAACATATAACTGAATAAGCCAAATACAAGTCTTCATGATCTCACACACACCTGTTTACTGTACACACACAAAATTTTACTGTTTGCATTTCTAGTACAACCCTCTTTCCTTAGCTCAAGTATGCAAACCTCTTTGCCACATGCACTGGAAAATGTATTACATTGAAAGTTAAATTTTCAAATGAAAATGGCAACATGATCATTTTATAAAGTATGCGTTCATATGTGCTTCATGTTCACTGGAGGAAACAGCTGTGGTGTGATGAGGGGTGAAGGCAGCGAAAACTAGACTAGGCTACAATAGATGGGGAACCGATTGATATTTTGTAAACTGTATTTATGACAAAGAACAGAACTGCACAGATGCAGATATTATAACAATCTATCGTTAAACGCACACCTTGTCCTCTGTTCCTTGCTCTGCGCCGCCGCGGTCAGCGGATTGAAAAAGAATGCGCTGAAAGACGGAGAGGAGCCGATCGAAGTCTGCCGCTGTTTTCATATGAAATTTAAAGGGGACTGAGGTGATCACGAATTCGTGTACAGTTTATGGAGCTAATCGCAAAATTTTAGGGGGGCTATAGCTCCCCTAGGCGCCCATGCTCCATAGGAAATGGGTCTACGATGTACTTAGGCTTACGATGATTTTGGGAAATACAGCCCATGTCGGTACGCAAACGCGCGCTCTGAACTCATTTACACAGGGCATTTCTTATTTTGGTCGCGCATGCGGACCTGCGGACCACTTGTGTGCACCCCTGTATATAGGCCTATCATATATATCCTTTATATATACTAGTGGTTCAATGGATCATATTGTGGTTTCTGAGTCACGGATGGGATGATTTTTCAGATAAGCAAGAAAAAAATATTTAAAGCACAGAGAATGAGAATGCCGAGAATGGTTTTTTGCCAATTTTATGTGTGTGTACAGTATCTCAAACGCAAGGAGACGTAAAAGAGGAATCAACTTGGTATTCTCTTGCTGTCTGAAACACGTCTCTGTGCGTGTGCGCGCTTCGGGTGTGTGCGGCTGCTGTGAGTAACGAATCGAGTCCTCTTTCGCTTCTTGTGGTTTAAAATGGGGACCTCTGATCTAGAGCACCAAATCAGTTTATTAGAATGATTTCTGAAGAATCATGTCACACTGAACACTGGAGTAATGGCTCTTGAAAATTCATTTTTGCCTTTGCAGGAATAAATTACATTTTAAAGCACATTCAAATATAAAACAGTCATTTTAAAGTGTAAATATATGTCGCAATATTACTGTTTTACTGTATTTTTGATTAAATAAATACAGCTTTGTTCCGCATAAGAGACTTCTATCAAAACCATTTTAAAAATCTTGCCAAGCCCAATCTTTTGAATGGTAGTGTGCATGTTATAGGCAGTTGCTAACTTGCAGGTAAATCCAGGTAAAATGTAAAGGGATATTTTCACATAGGGAAGTTATATCCAGGGTTGTATCTATGGATAACTCTTTGTATCCATTCATACAAGTGCTTGTTTCAGTAACATTAGTTTTGTATGTTGGTTTCAAACAACTAATTAAGAACCCTTTTAAATTAGAAAAATTACAGTATGTTGCCTATACAGAAAGTGACATTGAAAATGAACCTATTCCGAGTAAACCATGTGTCAACTAGCCCGTCTACCATATATTGTGGAATTTGCGATGACCTACAGTAAAGCAGGTAGCTAATACTTCAAGAGAAGTGCTGAGACTGAACCTCAAGTGCTGGTCTGACGTTGCACGTGCAGTTCTAGGTTAGTAAATATAGAAGATATAACTAAGATTAGTGATGTTACATATGACACTGAAGCTTCAAAGCGCGTATCGAGTAAGCAGCGCAATTTCTCAGGAAGCTGTGTGCCGGTGTTCTGTCGATTTGTGCTACCCTGTCAGATTTCGCTACCTCCCATTAAAACAGTGGGTAGTACAATTCGACAACGAAAAATGCTACCTGTAAAATTATGGTTTATTAACGTCTACACCTACCACAACCCTAAACCTACCCTTACAGTAATGCAAATACAGTACTTATGTGTTATATTCGCGGTTGTAGCTAGAAGGGATACAGCTACAGGAAACCAACAATAAATAATTTTTTCTACCTATTAGATTGTGTTTTATTAAAGTCTACACCTACCACAACCCTAAACTTACCCTTACAGTAATGCAGATACATTAAATATTGTTGTTCAGCATGAGAAAAAGGACGCAATATTGCTGTGCGCAAGCGCAGTAAACCCTGGACAATCTGACGGGTAGGATAAAATGTCAGGACACCTAAGCGCGTATTGTTTTCAGAGAATCACGTGATCAACGAAAAACGAGGCCTCACTTTCTGTCCAATCACGTGCGCGTGTCGGAATGTTCGAAACCCCTTACTTTACGAGTAAGTTTTCATTCAGACTTATTCAATTACATTTTTAAATACACAGTCATACAAGTAATATGAAGAATACAAATTATTTCATAAAAAATTTAATATTTGGCATATGCAATTCATATGTGTACATTATTCTTCGATTACATTCATATTGATATTCATATTGGCATTTAATGCCACAGTTTAATGGGTAAATTATTTTATCCGAGAGAGAGAAATTCAACAAACAAACATACACACACTGTTAGGCTTTTATTTGTGCACGTAACATGAGTCGATCTATGGAATTTGTGGTCGCTGCTTCGTCCGACGGAGCGTCTTTCACAGGTTTTTGGCTGCTTTATTTTTTATTAACCACCAGAAGGCGCTGTTTTTGACACTCGCGAAGCTTCGAATCTTTTCCCGAAACAGTCAGAGGAAAGCCTCAGTGCTTCATGAGGCTTCATTTACCCATCACTAACTAAGATGAGTCAGTAAGTTATAGCCAGAATAAACCACATAGTATTTTTTAACAAAACACAGTATGTGTACAGTTGTAGCAGGTTAACACAGTAAAAGAAGATGTGATATGTGATGTATTTATTTTAAAGTTCCACAGAACCCTGAAAATGAGAGAAACTAGCTGAGACCAGATGTAAACAGAATTTTACTCCCTAGAGATACAAAGCAATTTTCATTTTGTTTAGAACCCTCAGAGCTTTGGCTAATGAATAATGGATTGTGGTGCATTTTCCCAGTGGACAGCACTTTCTTTGGATTGATTACTAAGTTAGCTGCTGAATCAGAGTAATGCTTTCTGGAAGGCACAGAATTAGCACTGACATAATAGTAGGAGGCATTTAGTTATGCTGAGCTGGTCTCATAGTATGCCTGTGTGCGCCGTTTGCGTCTGTACACAGGACTGGTGAATGGAAAAGACAGAAGGACAGATGTGTCTTGTTCCTGTAGGTGGAGAGCTATTGAAAACCTGCTGGTCACAGACATTGTTTTACATCAAAGCAAACTGTAATCAATTGCAATGATCACACAAGCCTTGCATACATTACTGTGTATTGGATTCAGATGCTGTGAATAATGCTCTGAGCATTGGGGCAGCCTAAGATGCACATCCTTAGTGGTCTAAATGACTTGTCTTGAGGGATAGTTGTAATTAGTTTGAACAAAGAGGAACCAGGATTTATTCAGTATTAAGTGTGCAGTTCAATCTTTCAGCACCAGAGGGCAACGAAACATAAGCAGATAATGAAATCCTGTTGGGCAGTGGTTCTCAACTTCTCAACCTTTTTGTCTTGAAGGGCTACCATTGTCCAACACAGTATTCAAAGGCCGGCTAATTTTAATTTTTAGCTTCTTTTTTTTAAAATTTCATTTTCATTGTTTTCTTTTTTATTAACAGAAACTAGGAATGTTTACATATGAATTAAACACAATTTATTTTGGGATTCTAAAAATGTCAAGAACTATGTAAAAAAAAAAAAAAGCAAAAGAAAACAAAAACTTGATGGGAGGGAAATAAATATAAAATAAATATGTTTTCAGTATGTTTTTGCATGTTTTTTAAATCATTTTAATTAAGTTAGAGTAATATATTAATAATACTATTAAGATTGTTAATAACAACATTTTCATTTAAATAATACTTAAAAAAAATAGTCATTTTGCAACCCTGAGGACCCTGGAGAATCACTGCTGACAATTTGCGTGCATCATAATAACTAACTGTGAATATCTACTAAAAATCTTGCATGTGTGTTAAAAAATATTATTATAATAAATTAATTAAAAATAAAAAAATAATAATATTATAAGATTTAAAACATAGTATAGATTATATTATATATTATTATAAATATTAAATATTATAATTCACCATAAAATATTATAAATCTTTTGTGGTATATATATAAAGCCATAGGATAGCAGTGTGATGAACAGGTGGCATTTTTATTTTGAGAGTCTCAGTCAAGCAGTGAATAATGACTTAAATTTGGTCTGTTTATCACTCACAGCTATCATGTTGGAATATAGTGCATGATTCTATGGTGATTTTTGTTCTTATTGGAGTTTGAGAGCCAGTGGTCACTAGGATGAACAGTTTGTTTTTGTTAAAAAATAACATTAGACAGGTTTACAATAACATAAGGTGAGTCAACAATGACTTGGTGAATTATTATTATTATTATAACTTTTTTATTTATAACTTATTGTCATGTGTGGTTCTGTGCCCTGATAGGCTAGTGCGTTTGGAGCGGCTGCATTTCCATCCGAGTGTGCTGTCACAAAAAAGAACGTGTCTGTGGCCTTCTGCTCCATCGCTGAGATCTTCTTCACAGATCTCTGGTAAATATCTTTCTTTTTTTACACAGATATATGCTGACTCTTGTTCAGCTTCTGCCTATCTTTGTTTGCTCTGGCCTTTCTTACTCTTTTCATTTCTCCACCTTTTTGGCTTTCTGTACCTGATGAGATGATATGACAGACACACACACACACACACGCACGCACGCACGCACGCACACACACACACAGACATACACACCTGGGATGCTGAAGACTGGAGCCCATCTGCTCTGAGGCCTGCAGAAAAGATCTAATCACAGACTGGTTGATAGAGGGATAGAAAGAGGGAGAGGGTTGGGAATTCAGGATTGGAGTAATGGTAGGAGAGAGATGAAAAGGAGATTTGGATTGGAGATGCGCTCAGTGTTGATTGTCGAGGATCTTGGCACGACATGACTTCATTCAAACCCTGAGATTGAAATTCAAAGCATGAGGGAAAGGTCAGGTTTATTGACAATAAGTAAGCACCATACCATTTCACACATCGGTGTACATTATGAAGGTACAGCAGTAGCCTCTAGCAAAGTACAGTTCATCTCTCTGCCTATCCTCTTGATGTACTGTATGGTTGTATGTGTGTATCAGGGTTGTTGTTATGTTTGCTGGAGGCGATAACTGGAAAATCAAGAGCAGAAAAGAGTGTGTGTGCTAACAAATAACATTTTCTTCACTAGTGTTGATGCCCCTGGGTGCTGTGGAAACTCTTGTTTAGTTCAATTATTGGTCAAACCTGTAATTTTTTTTTGGGTGTAGACATTGTACCTTGACAAAGCTACACAATGTATGTTACTTTGAAATATGTGTGTGTGTGTATGTATATATATATATATATATATATATATATATATACACTGACCTGTACTTACTAAAATATATAAAAGAAAAAGTGGTCATAGTAACTTTTTAAATTATTTAAAACATTTTTAAATTATTAAAAACTTCTTGCTGACAAATGGGTAAAATCTAGGATTGGTAAAGATTTCAAATGACCTTTTAATTAGTTTTTGGGGGCTGCACAAATACACATACCTTCCTCACAACCTTTACCACTTTACCTTGTCCTACCTTACTATACCACTTTCTCTGGTACTATTATTTTTTGTACCTCCTCTATTCTTGGCTGGATTATCATCCTTTTATCATATATACTTACAATTTCCTTATCTCATCCTGCTTCCTCCTGTTATATACTGCTTCCTTTTCCCTCTCATTCATCCTTGCTTTCTCTTAGCTTATCCTACATGTTCTTAACACGCATGACTTCCTCTCATCCTACCCTTCTTCCTTTTATCCTATATTGCTTCTTCTCATCCTATATTTCTTACCATATATCATTAGCTGTTATCCTCTTCTGTTCTTATCCTCAATTTTTTGTTTGGAATACATTTAAGATATTGATTGATCATAATTTCGTTGTGAAAAAATTTGCACACAGTTTTTTACAGAAAAAGATGTACCTAAACATGGTTGGTGTCAATGAGTTTAATAACTGACTGATTTTTATGGGCTTTAAATAGCTTTATAACTGTTTTATTGTTTGACAGCATGGAGGAGGGCGCTGCTGACCGTTGCAAAGTGGCCATCGACAAAGCTTTACAGTACGATGAGCACAACCCTGAAGCTCTCCAGCTCATGGCCAGCTACCTGTTCAGCATAGAGAAAAATGAGGTACGACAGGACAACTGCGGACTGAATTACCCAGAATTCCCTCACTGTCTCACTTGTTGACTGCAGCGGTCTGAGCAGTGGGTCATTATGCAGTCATAATTAGTGTAGGTGGAGAAGCTGAGAGAGCTGAGTCATGTATTTCTGAGAAGGAGACACAGATAGAAATTGTGTGAGAGAACGAGTGAGTAAGAAAGACAGGTTTTGGGCATGTATGCTTGTTTTTGCATGAGGGATAGACAAAGATGGCAGATGAGAGAGTTAGGTCACAGCTAATGAATTACAAGCCATTAATAGAACAAGCTTATTGAATAAGACTCAATGTGGGACAGATTTACTACTAGTGCAAACACACCTGCTTTGATGCAGTTCCTCACTGAACCACTAGAACCAAACAGACATAAGATCAGCATGTCTGCTGATCTTGAGCGACCCTCTGAGTTGAGCTTCAGTCTGCAGCTTAAAGCTCTTGTAACATTTGTGGGTATTTTCACTTCAGAAGACACTTCCATTTCCCTTCAGAGAGCTGACAGCGAAACTTAACTCAACAGTCATTAACTTGAATCTCTTTGTGTCCTCTAAGCTCAACCCTATTTCAGGCTTGTACTTTTTCATCTCATCCTGTCACTGCCTCTCATCCTATGCTTCTCCCTCTTGTCCTTTACCACGTGCTCTTATCCTGTCTATCTTCCTATTCATGCTATTTGCTATGCTTTACTACTTCCTCTCATTCAGTACCACTTCCTCTCTCTCATCCTATTCATATTCACTTCCTCTCATTATCCTATTATCCTTCACTTCTTCATCTCATACCACCATCTGTTATCCAACTTTCTGTCACGTTTTTCATCCTGCACCACTTCCTATCATCTTATAGAGCGTCTTGTTGTCCTATTCTCCTTTTTGTAATCCTATTCTACTTCCTAATTGGTCATATGCTATCCTATTTCCTCTGTTCCTAGGCAATTTTCTCTCATCCCATCTTACTTCCTCTCATCCTATATTGTTCCCTCTTGTCCTTTACCAATTTCTCTTATCCTGCTCCATCTTATTCATGCTAATTCCTGTGTCTTCTTTCTTTGCATTTTATATTACTTCCTCTTGTTTTATATTACTTCCTCTAATCCTACTTTCTTTCCTCGTGTACCACTACTACCTGTTATCCTACTTTTTCATTTTCTTTCATGCTTTGCTACTTCCTCTCAGTCTACCACTTCTTATTGCTCATGCTATTTTGTACTTCTTTGCAGTACTTCTTTGCATTATATACAGTACCGCTTCCTCTCATCCTTTATCACTTCCTCATCTCATTTTCTCTCACCCTGACCTACTTCCTTTCATCCTATTCTGCTTCCTCTCAATGTATTCTACTTCCTCATACCACTACCTGTTATTTTACTTTGTCACCTCCTCTCATCCTTTACCACTTTTTATTGTCCGTGCAATTTCCTACCTCTTTTCTTCTTCATATACAGTACTACTTTATCTAAACCCTGTATCACGCCCTCTTATCCTAACTTATTTTTTCTCACCTACTTCCTCTCAACATATTCTACTTCCTCTTATCCTTTACTACTTCCTCTCATCCTATCCTGCTTCCTTTCATCTCATGCCACTACCGATTATCCTACTTTCTCTCACTTCCTCATCCTGTACCACTACCCATCTTCTTATAGAGCTTCCTGTTGTCCTATCCTACTTAAAATTTCTGAACAGTATATTTATTTTCTAATTCATTTTTGTAAATTAGCTGTTAAAGAGAGGCCTTTTTTCTATAATTATGAATTACAAAATTTATGAAAAATTATGTTTTCATAATTTTCCTTCTCAAATCACATCAAGACTTTTATCATCCTTGAGTAGTTTACCTTTAATATTTACTGTACTGTTCTTTGTTTTAGAGCAACATCCCGCCTTATGAATCCAGAATAACAACAGCCAAACTGCTGATCGAGGCTGAGCAGTATGAGGTAAGATGATGGTCTACTCTAGATCAAATCTTTTAAGGAGAACATTTCAAATGTTCAGTCTGTTTAGAGAATTCATGCTTCAGAATGTTCAACTTGAATGCTCCTCAGCAAGGCAGACCTGAAGTGTCAGTGAATGTTGAAGTGGAGCGTAAAGTACCTGTCAGCAATTCTTTGAGGTGGTAGTAATGTCGTCCTATACACAGATTCAGCTGATGAGCTGTTCTCAAGCTATTGGGCTAGAAATGATTTCATAATAGTGCATTGGTTCCATTCTAGAGTCAGTCTGTATTTATCCGGTGTTAGCACAGTTTAATCCAAGACAATCCATTCTTGCTGTGCAAGCATGTTGAAAGACCTATAGAATATATTTTGTACAAGTACACTAATATTAGCTATATGTCTAACAAACAGGCATAAAGCTGCCAGTGTTGTGTGTAATGAGAAGGTTTAATGTATGCTCTATTGCAGCTGTAGAGTAAACCATCACCATCATAATTGTCAGCACGACAGCTATTTGCGACCTAAAAATGTCTCTTTCTGTGGCTGTCATGAGGCTGGTGAGGTGAGCAAATCAGTTAGCTATACTTGTAACCCGTAAGGAATTATTATTATTATTATTATTATTATTATTAAAAAACACTTTTGAGAACCAGATTTTGAATGCATGTGTTCCTGTTTCTGTTGATTGCATGCGAACACTTTAATAATGCCGTTCATGCTGTCTAGCTAGGCAGTTGACTTGTTTGTGAGACACAACCATTCAAAAGTTGAGGTGAATTGTATAGTCCTCCAGTGTTGGTTAGTAGTTTTGTCTTTTGTATCAGTGTGACGGTGTCCCACAGCTCTTTTGGAGTTCTGAGCAAGACAGTGTTCCCAGTTAATAAGGTTAAGACTATAGATTTGTTTCTCTTTAAACCCTTTTCATCCTTTTCTATCAGTGCCAAGGTGTCCTTTGAATAATGCAGGATTGGTATTTTATTTGCACTTTACCGTAACCTTTGCAGTTGAGTGTGAGTGTGCAGTAGGACCCTTTTTGTGCAGAGAGTGTGAATGGCCTGACACCTGTCCAGCACTTGGAGAGAGGTATCAGAAAAAGTGAGAGAACTGAGAATTGAAATAATAGCGAAGAGGAAAAAGGAAGGATGACGGGGTCGAGAGATAGAATGAAGTAAGGCAGGACCAGGATGAGATGCTGTAAAAGTGAAAGTAAATTTTTGAGGGAGAGAGAATGATAAATTGACAGCTGTGAGGAGCACACTTTTCTTTAGTTCTTTTTCACACTTGCTTATGTTTTTTCGGTTCATCCTGAGGAGACAGTGAAGGACTGAAGGCTGCAGCCTGACTTTTAAAAAGCGTCTGCTCTCTCTTAGCCGAACACAAATCTCCTCTCAGCATGGGGGACATATTAATATTAAAACCAGTCACCTGGCTGTCTGTCAAAATGATGCCAAAGGTTGCAGGGTCGTCTCTGCGACAGCGGGTGTTTAGACAGAAGCCGGGCCCCCCGGCAGCAAGGCCCTTTGATTGGACATCTGGGAAATGTGAGCACTTCTAAACAGAGAGAAAGGGAGAGGGAAAGAGAACGATGGACTAGCTCTAAAGATACTGGTGTAAAAACAAAATCAGTTTTTAAACATTCAGCATAATAAAAAATAAGGCCTAAATACTACCTGGTCTCATGGCATAAACGTACCTGGGGCACTTTTTAGCGAGACGCGAAATACGTACCAATAAATGCATATCACTGCAGTTTCCAAAATAAATGAACATTAGAGGCAGTAAAACTCTCGACACCTTTTATTCCTTTTCACACAAATTTACAGAGTTTCGATTAATAAAGCGTAATTTTCGCACAATTACTTGAAGAATATCATGTTATGACTTCAAAACAATATTAATATGCTGGGAGATTTGAAAACTGATGCTTTTGAACGTTAGCATCGCACATATCCAGCTTCATATCTATGGGTTTTCAGCGACGGTAGGTTTGTTCGGTAGCTCACGGAGTACGGAGACGTACTTGAGAGGCGAGGAGCTCCGGTTCGAATCCCGTGTAACCACGGTTCGACAAAACAGTTCAAATCTGCATATAAGGAAGCTGAAATGGCACGGTTGCATCAACAAATGCGTTTTTATATCAGTTTTGCATTTGTTAACACTATCGGGTAGGTTTAGGGTTGGGTTTGGTGTAGGTAGGGCTGGGTATCGGTATCACGGATACCGGTTCCTGAACTATTCTTTTTTCGATACCGATTTTATGAAATCAATTTTAACAAAATCACATTATCTAAAAAAAAATAAATAAATATTGGTTTCATTTTTCAGCTTGTTGATGTTTATACAGACTCAAAGACTCATCTCCTGAGCCACTGCACAAAGGATTAAAATGTAACCAACACAATAAATCAGTGCAAATAGTTTTAATAAAGCTCAAATAGTCTTCAGTTTAGACATCTGTTATAGGCTACATTTACACTAGTGCGTGTTCGTTTTAAAACGCATAGCTCAGACTCATCATTTCTATAAATTTTCCACTGATTTACTGATGAGCATTAGCAGCTTCCAGTGCTGTCTGCCTGTGTTCTCTTTTCCATGATCGCTGCTCTGACTCTGAGTCAGAGGTAATAACATATTTAATTTCAGCAACATTACATGGCCAAAACACACATTAGACGGCAATCAGAAGTTATTAAAACACTCGATGGTGGTTTAAAGTGAGTTTTGAGTAAAAGCGGAATATAAATCTTATTTATTGTCTTATGTAGCATGATGTGTGCATGAATGGTCACGTAACACGCGTTTTCGGACGTGTAGTATAATAATATAATTAATAATTCATTACATTTTTATAGCGCTTTTCTAGGCACTCAAAGCGCTTTACATTGTCAGGGGGTATCTCCTTATCCACCACCAGTGTGCAGCATCCACCTGGATGATGCGACGGCAGCCATAGTGCGCCAGAACGCCCACCACACACCAGCTTATTGGTGGAGAGGAGACAGAGTGATGAAGCCAATCAGTAGATAAGGGACAGTTCAAATCTGCATATAAGGAAGCTGAAATGGCACGGTTGCATCAACAAATGCGTTTTTATATCAGTTTTGCATTTGTTAACACTATCGGGTAGGTTTAGGGTTGGGTTTGGTGTAGGTAGGGCTGGGTATCGGTATCACGGATACCGGTTCCTGAACTATTCTTTTTTCGATACCGATTTTATGAAATCAATTTTAACAAAATCACATTATCTAAAAAAAAATAAATAAATATTGGTTTCATTTTTCAGCTTGTTGATGTTTATACAGACTCAAAGACTCATCTCCTGAGCCACTGCACAAAGGATTAAAATGTAACCAACACAATAAATCAGTGCAAATAGTTTTAATAAAGCTCAAATAGTCTTCAGTTTAGACATCTGTTAGGCTACATTTACACTAGTTAGTGTT